AAATCAAAGAGTTAACTTACATGCATTCGGAGGGCATACTCGCCGGTGAGCTAAAACACGGACCGCTGGCCCTCATTGACAAACAGATGCCCGTAATAATGGTGGTCACCAGAGATCCCGTGTATGTGAAGTGTATAAACGCATTGCAACAGGTATTTCAAACAACAGTTGAAAGTATATATTGTGAACAATAAGTGTTAATTATACGGATGTGTCCCATAAGGTGTTGGCGCGCGACAGTCGACCTATCATTATATGCGAAGACACGGACACCGAGACCCAGAAGTACGCGTTCCGGTCGTTGAAGATCCCGCACACAGTCGACTGTTTGCAAGGAATCCTATCCGTCATTCCTCTACAACTACTTTCATACCATATCGCAGTCCTCCGCGACTGCAATGTCGACTGTCCCCGAAATCTGGCCAAATCTGTTACCGTTGAATAACCCGTTCATTCCAGTGGACACACAAACACATGAAGACAATTGGATTCAATGAAAATACATTCAACTAAAAACCATTTTTCAAAAAAGTTTAATTTTATTTCTTTCCTTTATTTTCTATTTTATTATTATAATATTTTTGGTCTATTTTTTATTACATCGCGATTAATATTTTATAAATTATTGCTTTTAATTTATGAAATTATTTTTAAAGAAATATATTATATTTTTGTTATAAAATAATAAAAAGCATTTTTAAGGGTTTTTATGTGTGTGTCTATAGTTGTCAATAATTATATCACATTATCTGTTGGGAAATTGAGGTGTATTTGTGGCCAAAAAAGTGTGACTCAAAGCATTTGTATCAAAAACAGCAGTTATTTTAGATACTTATCGATAATCTCGTTGTCAAACCAATTCATGTCAATCTGGAGGTGATCTCCGATCACTTCGTACTCACGAAGGCGTCCGCTTGTGTCCAACTCTTTGAGGCCCAACCAGTCCTCCTTATAGAGAGCCGAGTCTCGCATTTTGTAGACACTTTGCGCCTGATTTGGCGCATAAAAGCCAAAGAGAGACGACTCTCTGCCTTATCCCTGGCCTCGGCCTCCGCCGCCGAGACCTCCACTTTCTTGAGCTCCGCATCGATTATCAGTGTCTTCTGCTTTGTGTCCGCGATCTTCGCCTTCAGATCCTCTATTCGTTGCAATTTCTAAGAGAAATACCAATCAATGAGACAATTGTGACAACAATTGGGGAAACAATGGCAGCAATGGATGTCGTGATCACCGAATTGAGTGCTTTGGATGGAAAGGACCAGAAGTAAGTGGAGGAACCGATTTTGTCGGTCTCTACCAAATCGTCGGCCACTAATGACTGCACAATCTCTTTGACGGATTGCATCACAACTCCCTTCAGCTTTGGGCCCAATTTCTCCAACTCTTTCAGTAGAAACGGTTCCTTCTGTGCCATCGCGTGAGTGGACAACAAATACAAAGACATTACAAGACATATGAGACAAATGGATGACGAGTGCGAAACAGACCTTTTCGTGGAACAGTTCCAGCATTCGTGTCCTCTTCTCCTCGAAACTCAATCCCTTTTTCTTCGACTATAAACAAAGGATCCGATCATTGGATCAGTCATTGAGTCATTTGTATTGTAATTATAGCTATAATTACCATATTTTGTGGCAAATTGTGGACACAATTGAGACAATTGTTTGCAAAACTCAACCAAAAGTTGACACCAAATGACTGTTCGCTCGAATAATTGCGCCGAAAGTGTTGCCAAAACGAGCCGTTCATAAATACTGTGACACTATTTAGTGCCCCCTTTAAGCGCTGTGTTTGACTCAAACAATCAAACTCTGGCCACAAATCGGTCGGTAATTAAGCCATTCGTTTGCGATTTACTCTAAACTAACCGACGATTCAATGATTATTACAATACTGTCTATAAGTGACCACAACTACAGACATGTGTCCGCTATTATGGACACCATTTCGCACAATTCACTGTTAATACAATTTTAGAAAAAAGTTGCGAGGGAACTCGTTAAATGGACATTGCTCAATGATGCCTCTGTTCACGTTTTTTAATTAGTTGAGATACATGGTAATAATGATTGATACGCATGTCCAATGAGTAAACAGTGTTTTTATGTGTTCGCATATTTTATTGAGAAAAGCAATGCATTTATTTCATTGTATTTAAACCGTAGACAATAGTAGCAAATGGTCTCCAAATATATTTTGAATGAAATTGATTTAAATTTGATTTTTTAATTAAATTGTGTTTTTATTGTAATTATTATAATTAATGTTTACAGCAAATCAAATATGAATCGTAAATACAAACAAATAGATTAGTAAATCTAAATATAATAGTTTAAACAATGATATTATATTGTTAATTAAATTGTATTTGTATTAATTAAATATCTTATAATTTTAGTTTATAAATTAGGGCAATAATAGTAAATTAATTTACATTCATTGCCCTAATATGTAATATTATGTATTGTTTGTAACATGTATAATAATGTTTTACAATAACTAATTATTTGAATAGTAAGAAATTAGAGCTAAATATATGTAAATTTAATACATTGACAATTAAATGTAAAACTAGTGTTACTTTTGTATTGTGTATCAATTTGTGTGAAAACAATTATATATTCAAACAAATAGTATGTATGTTATATCATATAACTTATATGTATTAAAATGTATGTATTAGTTGACAATTAAATCAAAAATGTAATGTACATTAATGTACAATGGATTAAGTAGGTAATGAAATTAATGATAGTTTAGTGTTTAATACAAAGATAATAAAAAATCCAATGATAATCACATGAAATCACATCAAATGTGCGGCCAAACAGGCAATTGTCGCGATATAATTGATGCCAAATTTTACGGATCGTTAGATATTTTGGTATTTAATAAAAGCCTATCTTTGGCCTAATCTTCGGCCGCAATCATAAGACTTGCTCTCAAAGTCCTGTTTCGCGTGAAGTTATCGGAAATGAAACCAAATCCCAGTTTTAGGACATTAAGGCTTTCAGCTGTCAACTCATCACAACTATAGATTTCTCCATATGTTTGTTGTTTTGCTATAAAAAATGCAAAAAATTTATATTTAAACTGAATTTAAATGCTATTTATTAATACTTCTACTGATCGTCTCATTGATGGTGTACTGAATAGTTTTACCAATGAATTTACATCTAAGGTATTCCCAAGAATTCCAGTCCTCATTGTGTTGAATGAGATAATTAACATCTGATCTCAACTTAAGATCAAAGTCTGGCGATTGAATCGCATCTATAATTGAAAACAATTATTACCGTAATTTGCAATTTATGTATAAATTTATGTCAATTTTACCCAAATAAATGTCAATTTCCTTTTTAGTGTGTGAGTCTTGTATTCGTAAACCATTTCCTTTAATTATCTGTTTTATTACAATTATATGGATTAAACATTAATTAAACTAATGATACAATTAATTATATATACTGTAGAAATGGTATACCTTTTTGGCGAGTGCTTTTCGCTCAGGCGTCCACTCAATCGACATTTTGCAAAGTTTTTGTCGCTTTTGATTGTCGTTTAAATCAATAAAATGATGTTTTATGTAAATTAATTTACAAATTCTACACCATTTGACTTAAACATCACAAACACTACTTCAGACACACTTTAACCAAAAATTCAATTGAAATGATTGTAAATAAATTTACAAAAAATTTTCAATTATTTTTACGTCTATTAGTTATACAATTGTTTTCAATTCAATTATAATTCACTCTTCAGTCATATATTAAACGCCAAATTAGTTAACAATCAAACATATGATCTCTTATACGACTCTAACAAATGATAATTAATTAATTTATAAACAAATTAACAAAATTATTAATGAAATGAAATAGCATTCAATTCACACTACAATGACTTACATTAATGTAAATAACAATTTATCAATAAATTTAAATCAATTCACTGTTCAGTCACTTATTTAACGCCAAATTAGTGTACAATCGCTTCATCTCTAATACAATTAACAAATAAATTAAACTTAAATTCAATGAAAAAAGTAAACAAATTATTCAAAACATATTTGCATTGAAAATATACGAAAATTACTTACATTTTTGGGATTTCTATTACTTTTACTATTGTTTGCTAACTTTTAATAACAAATCGCTTTTAATTCAACACTCAATCAATCATTTTTGTTAATCATATGATTATTTTAATTGAAATTATAAACAATTACTTGTTATAAAGGATTAACAAAATGTCTGGCGTTTGACCGGAAGTACATGTGATCAGGAAATCAGTAGTAAATGCAATGTTTTCTCACTTTATTTAAGCATCGCTTCAATAAATAAACGGTGAAAACCAATGAAAACGCGTAATGCGTTTGCCTTCAAATAATCTCATCTTTTCACACAAATGACGTTTTGTAATGCATTTTAATGCTAGACGTTATTGAAATTAATGCGTTAAGCTTCAAATAAATTCAAATTATTTGAAGAGCAATAGGTTTTTTGAAAAAAAGTTGATTAAATCAGGTAATATTTTTTACAGTGAACACTTGCAGTAATTTTTGTGAACAAAACAAATGCCAAAACTTTTGTTTACAATTTGATAGCAAAACACAACATGTGATCAACAAATAGTGATATCACATGTCATTTGGTCTCACATTTCAGTCATAATAATCGCAACAATTATTACAATAATTAACATTAAATTCAGTGCTAATTGTGGTTAACGTTAAGCGGATATAAAGCGTCCCAAAAGTCTGGACACAAAGTTTGGCCAAAAGTTTTTTTGCACCAAAAAAGTGGATTCAATTATGAAAAGGCTATTAATTGTGATGTGTTTGGCGTTTGCGGCCATCGATGGCCGTCGGGTGGCTGTGGAGGACAGGGAGGCAACGGATCCGACGCCGATTGTCTTCTACCACGGAATGGGCGACACATCTCACGGAAGTATTTATTCGCTGCAGAAGTATTTGGAGGCGAAGATCGCCGGCGTTTACGTACTGTCCGTCCGGATGGGCA